CTTACTTATAACAGTTTTACAAAGATTCCGGCTGAGACTAAGCTGCATGGCACATTATGAAAGTTGTGTTAATGTAATTTACTTGGCTTGTAAGGACTTATAGGCTTTCTATTCTTAGTCTTTCTCTCTTTTGGATGAACAGTAACATCAACTCTTAATTATAACACTTCAAAAGCAATCCGGCCAATCATGTTATAGTATCGATGTTTTAATTTGCTTATATATAAAGCTTGTAACATCGCAGTTTTAGTCAGTTGACTGTCGAGTTTAGTTTAGGATCAAGATCAAGCACGCTGCGAGTCGAATTGGATGGCTAGAATAATCACGGGTGCGAGAGGCATTGGAAGTGTTCTAGTTGAAGACAGCTTTAAATATCAGTTTAATCGACAGAGTCAATCGACGATGCATTGGCGATGTTGGCGAACAACTTGCGGCGCGAAACTAAAGACTAATCTCTTCGACAGGAATGATGAAAATCCAAACGTTAGAGTGGTGGAGAGAGAGCAGCATGATCACGAAGATGATGCCATTATACAGAAAGGAATCTTTCTCAACGATGCCAAAGGCAGTGTACGAGATGATCCAACCAGACCAATAAAGCGAGTTTATGACCGGCACGTTTCAGCAATTCACAGAGAGGCTGGCAGATCTGATCAAGAAATTCCTGATTTCCAATCCGTTCGGTCACAAATGTCAAGGGTGAAATCGGGTGAAATCGGCTGAAGTGCCCGACACGCCCCAAGATATCGACGACGTCAACATCGAAGGTTCCTGGGCACGATCATGGAGAAACAAACGGTTCCTGCTACATCAGGACAATGATTGGGGCATCGCTATTTTCGGCACTCGAAGAAATCTTTGTGCGCTTGATCAATGTCAACAATTATACATGGATGCAACTTTTCGCACAGCCCCACGACCATACGAGCAAGTTTTCACTATACTTGGCCAGTACTACGGACGAGTATTGCCACTGGCCATCGTACTTATGACAAACAGGGCTATTGGCCATTATAGGCAAGTGCTGCAAGTTATCCAGTGTAAAATTCGGCATGCGACTGGAAGTGAATGGGAACCTGAGGCAATTGTATGCGATTTTGAGCAAGCCCTAATCACTGCTATCCAGACGGAACTACCTAACACCAGAATAGAGGGATGCTATTTTCATTTTAACCAGTCTCTCTGGCGCCATGTCAAAGACCTTGGTTTGACCCGGGCCTATCGAAACCATGAGCGTGTGAAGAAGCTCATTAGGAAAGTAATGTCCATCGGTTTTTTGCCAACAGCCATCGTGAGAAATAACTTTGCATTACTGCGCACAGAAAATAGGACACGGCGATTGTTTAGGAGATATCCAAGTTTGGTGGAGTTTTTCAACTACGTATTCAACAACTACATCAATGGAAACTTTCCTGTAACTTTGTGGAATGTGTACGATCGTGACATGGATTGCCGTACAAACAATAACGCTGAAGGTAATTGCAGTTGATTTATCAATTATTGTGATTCGGTTTTCGCATGATATGTAGAATTATCAAGCCGAAGTTTGTGTTATCAACGTAGCCTAAGGTTGAGCTTAGTAACACGAACCGGAACAGAGGTCATGATAATTCTCCATAATTCTCAATAATTGTTTTATTATTTATTTAAATGATGGAACAGCCAATATATTTACGTGTATTCACAATTCTTCAGTACTTCGACAGTCCTCATGACGGCACTATTTGTGCTTGAGATGGCAGCAAAAAGACGAAAGTCTGATATCTTTAAAGTGATTCTCATTAAAATCTTGTCGTTCATATGGGCGTGATTGCTAATGTGTTTCCATGACAACCATATAAAAATAACAATTATATTGAATCAACTCTGAGATACAAACAGACTTTCATGTTTTTGGTACCATTCCAAGAACTACAAAAGTGGCAGCGTAACTCAAAACTCAAGACATGAAAAACTGTATATAACTGCCTATTTATATTCATGCGCGTTTGTCCACGTATATATTACTTGCAATTGTTCAATTTAGTGGTTTTATTATTAAGGCTTTCATCGCGCTTGGAACAACCGTGTGCAAGTACGCCATCCCAACTTGTGGATCTTTATAAGGCATTTGAAGGATCTTCAGGCTCAAACCAATCAAGGCATCCGTTCTATGGATAACGGTGGGCAACCCACACGAAGGCGTCGCCGCTGGCAACGGTTAGAAAATCAACTTCAGAGATTGAAGACCGACTACATTAATGGTGCCCCCCAATTTTTATTTTATTAAACGTTTTTCCTAGTATGAGCAATCATTAGGACAATTTATTGAAGAAATTGTATGGAGCTACCTTAAAACATTTTTTGAGGGTAGAAGGAACCTCAAAAAGTGCCTATATTTACACTAATTCTTTGGTTCAGATTTAGGGTATTGGTTTAGGATTGGGAAATTCAGGCCACGTCATGGCGTGTTACAGTTGTAGATAGCTAATAATAATTGAACGTTGTTGTCTCGCAATCATTATGAAACTCTCAGTTATGCATTTATGTCCTGCAAACAGCTACAACATAATAAATAGAATAATCTTTTGAACACTTTTTTATTTTAGCATAGCAATTTTGTCATTTAGGTAAAGCAGCATGAAGAAATATGCATTAAATAAAAGAAAATATGTTGTTTCGTTATCTTAATGAGTCACGACTTGTGCAAGCTAGATGTTACTCACAGGACAAATTTCAATGATGAACTTAAAATCAAACACAAAACTAAATGCTTTCCTTTTATTCATTTAATTATTTCTCAAGTGGACAAAAGACTTTCAAGTGGATTTAAATTTTCCGTGCGTGCGTGTATGCAGGTACAAAAAATGCTTAACTGCGAAGCAGCCAAGTTTAACACGTAATTGTAATTCAAAACCAGCGTATGTTTTGGACTAGCTATAGTGAACCTTCGGAGTAGTGAACCTTCGGAGTAGTGAACCTTCGGAGTAGTGAACCTTCGGACTAGTGAACCTTCGGACTAGTGGGAAGTCACCATAGTAAGAATGTTTCGACTAATGTTGGCCAGACTTTCTTGAAGATAATTGACGAGGAATTTCCCGCAGATCACCCATTACACAAAATATTCAACCGTAATACAGTCAAGATCAGCTACAGCTGTATGCCAAACATTAAACAGACTATCGATGGACACAACAAATCCACGCTGTCTACAGCTTTCACCACGAATAGTCCCGACATGTGCAGTTGCCCTAAAAACAATAAAGAACTGTGCCCACTGTCTAATAAATGTATCACCGAATCGGTTGTATATCAAGCTACAGTCACTACTAAGGACAAAACTACCAATAGACCTCCCCAAACATATGTCGGCCTTACTGAAAACTCGTTCAAAACAAGACTTGCGAACCATAAAGCATCATTTAGCTCTTTTGACGAACGGAACGCTACTGAACTTAGCAAATATGTGTGGAAATTGAAAAATCGAAATATCCTTTATACAATCAAATGGAAACTATTAAAACGAGCTAAGCCTTATAACTGTGCTTCAAATAGATGTAATATGTGTTTATGGGAGAAATACTTTATTATTTGTCAGCCTAAAATGGCCGCTTTAAACAAACGTAATGAGTTAGTATCAGCATGTAGGCATAATAAAAAATTCCTTTTAAGTAACATTTAAAAGCTAGACATTTAAATATACCGCGGTGTGTTAATCTTTCCGCGTCCTGTCAGCTTATCATATAACATGTTTATTAAATCGCGTGCTTTGTAAATAGGATTAAGTTTCATGTCTCATCCACTTGTACATATATCCTTGTAAGTTTTAGTCTATAGTCATTAGGTCAATTTATCTGAAGAGTGCCACATACTGTGGTACGAAACTATTTAGTAATAAAGATGCCTAGTGGATTTTGTTGATTTGTTGTACCTTAATTTAAATATGCTCTGGTTTTCCATTGAGCACTTATAACCAACGAAATCAAATTTTATATATATATATATATATATATATATATATATATATATATATATATATATATATATATATATATTAAGATGAAAATGTTCTAGAGTGTGTATTATATTATTTCCATACCCAGCGACCTTCGAATTACTAGATCGACGCTCTACCAACTGAGCTACACGGTCAGACGGATTTAAGACTGGAAATTATGAAATATATACTGAATGTCATAAACATACTCGTTTATATTAATTCAGCATCGAACAATACTAGTTCTGCAAGTGTTATGTTAATTGTGTAATTGTACACTCCGCGGCAGACAACATCTTTTTGCTTGCGCTGGGTATGGAAATTATATAATACACACTCTAGAACATTTTCATCTTAACATATTACAGAGTGTACAATTACA